TCTTCCTTAATGCCCCTTGCCCATTTAGCCCATCCCCCACCCACAACCCCTCCAGCAACCCTCAGTTTGTTCTCTGTATTCAAGAGTCTCTTACATTTTGTCCCCCTCCTTGTTTTTATATTATTTTTGCTTCCCTTCCCTTATGGTCATCTGTTTTGTATCTTAAATTCCACACACAAGTGAAGTCATATGATATTTGTCTTTCTCTGACTAATTTCGCTTAGCATGATACCCTTCAGTTCCATCCACATAGTTGCAAATGGCAAGATTTCATTCTTTTTGATTTCCGAGTAATATTCCATTGTATATATATACCACATCTTCTTTATCCATTCATCTGTCAGTGGACATTTGAGTTCTTTCCATACTTTGGCTATTGTATGACTATAATTCTTAAAACCTCTTGGGGCGCCTGAGTGGCTCAGTCAAGTGTTTGACTTCAGCTCAGGTCATGACCTCACCATTTGTGAGTTCAAATAGTGAACTCACTATAGTGGTGAGCCCCACTGTGTTGGGCTCTGTGCTGACAGCTCAGAGCCTGGAGCCTGCTTCGGATTCTGTGCCTCCCTTTCTCTGCCCCTCCCAACTCACACCCTGTCTCTCTCTCTCTCTCTCGAAAATAAATAAACATTAAAAAAATTAAAACAAAACTCTTAATTCCATGCAACTCCTATTTCTAGACTATCTGCGTCTCAGCTTGCAAGTTGGGGACTAGAAAGCATGTGTCTAATAAGTATTTTATCTTATGCTTACTGCTAACATGAGTCTAGTGCAACTTCCCTACCAGCTCAACTGGAGTCTTAAGGATAAAACATCTCCTAGGCTCCTGCGTAAATAGCAGGTAGTTTTACAAAAGGGTAACATGAATCAGAAAGGGTAAGATGGTCCTTACCACATCCAATACGGCATGGACAAATACATCCAGGTATACCGTGGTGGCCTTAGTCCGGTCATGAACTGGCCTCACTTTCTTGTGATATTTCTGTAATAGCTGCTTGGTGAGACGATATAGAGTAGAATTCCCGGGATGAGGTGTATCTGTAACTAGTATTTCTGAAAAACAAAACTTAGCATCTTAGCATCTTTACAAGATTTCAGACAGTTCAGGACTTGGTGGTTCCTAACAGAACATAGTTTTCAGCTTACCCCAATCTGCTTAAATTCATAGCCAGCTGGTGGGCTTTCTGGCAGACACTTATTTAAAGCAAGCTGATGGTCTAACTGCCCAGTAGAGAAATCTCACTGTAAAGATAAATAAACCAAGCTGATCTCCAAGGATCTGAACTTCACCTACAATTCTGTTTTCACAGCAGTCTTGCGTCTTGGAGACAGAATCCTTTATTTCTGTATCACCCCCACCTACACCTACATAGAAAAAAACCTTCCTATACACTCAGCCACAAGTTATGTCCTATTTGGATTTTTCTTTTGATTTTCCATTCACAATTCAACGGTTAAGCAGAAAATCCAAGCAGGAACATGGACAAACCAATGGACCCAAAGATCTGTGTGGATTCCTCAATAATGGGATTAATGAGATTACAATTCACACTTTTCTTCTCAAAAAAAAAAAAAATCTCTTTTTGCACTCAACTGTCTTTAAATAAAACATGCTTGTCAGAAAATGAGATCTCCGCTTTGGGAAAAAATTCTTTCTGGTTCCAGAGAACAACCATTTTCTATGACCTGGGAATCCTGATTTGCAGAGGAGCAGTGATTGGTGTTGAGGCAGGGGAGGCCAGGGGAAAGGAAGCCCGGGAAGCGAGCACCAACAATTGGAAGTGACAAATTTGCGAGGGCTTCCTCTGAATTGCAAAAAGATATTTTGCTCACAAGCTCTGCCAGCTCCTGGGGGATTCAAAGCTTCGCTAAGTCATTGGACTGAAGCAAATTGCACACCTCCTGCCACGGCGCGTGAGTGAAATCTATCTGTCGTGTCCTGTGCGTGAATTCACCTCGCCTCTCAGTGGTTTTGATGGTTATTTTGATGAGCCGCTGAAGGTGTGCAGGGTCCAGCAGGAAACTGTAAATGAGATCTCTTCTCTCTGTGCGACAGTCCTGTTTCTACCCGTTTCTTTATGAATGATGTCGTGTCACTCGCCACCATGGGCAGCAATTTCTATGATTTATCAATGTCAGTGTGACCAAAATGCTAACAACGATGCTGGGGGTGCAACTGCAGACTCGTTGTGGGCAGTGGAATATTCACTTTCATTACCACCAGAGCTGCAAAGCTAATGAGCAGTTTAACTTCCTAACTATTCACCCAGGAAGACGCCTAAAATGGCATCAGCTATTCAGGCATGCAGGACTAAGGCAGGTGGCTTGCATCGGCGTCATTTTTAAGGTTCTTGTGAACTGTGATTGTCAAAAAAATGTGCTGTGAACCTCTCCACCTGAGACCATTTCTTGCTGTTGTACCCCAGGGGAGAGAAGTCAGGTGCATAAAAGCAAAGCTGGTTTGGTGCTTTTCCTGTGAACTTTGCTTTGGGCAACTTCACTTTCACCTCGCTTGGAAGCTCCCAATTCAAGTCCCAGTCGGGGAAGTACTGAAATGTGCGTGTTCCAATACAGGAAACTATCAGAGATAGAGTGAAAGCATAATTCTGAGAAATGAATGTGTTTTCCCTACACCCTCTGCCCATAAAGACCCAAATTTTCCCTCTGCTATCTTTTCTAGGAAACAATCCATAGATACCCTATAGAATAACATAAGTTTCCAGAACATGTCAAAGTCTTTGGGTAAAAAGAGAAAGTTCTGGAATCTAGAACTAGGAACAATAGAGAAACAAGCAATGTTAGGAAGAAAAATAAGAAGGAAATGAAAATATGCTGAAATAAACTATAAGGGCAGAGTTCTTTGTCCAAAACAGGAAGAAATAATAAATTACATTTCTACTATGAATGCAAATTTGCCTGAGGAGAAAGATCAATTACAAGAGAGAGATTAAGGATTTAAGTGACCATTAATTAACAGTAAATTATGCCCCCTTGAAAGCTAATGTGACATTCACACAAGCACTAAATGACTCAGTTCAGTGATGTTTCAACAGAGCTGATGGAAATGATCCACAGACCCAGGAAAGATTCCTTGTTAGCACTGCCTCTGTGGATGCTAATAATTTATTTGTAAGATTTCTGGAAAGTAGAATGTGTTAGGGGACTGAGCCATGAAGCACTTTTACGTGAAGAGAGATTTTTTTTTTTAATTTTTTTTTCAACGTTTTTTTTTATTTATTTGTGGGACAGAGAGAGACAGAGCATGAACGGGGGAGGGGCAGAGAGAGAGGGAGACACAGAATCGGAAACAGGCTCCAGGCTCTGAGCCATCAGCCCAGAGCCTGACGCGGGGCTCGAACCCACGGACCGCGAGATCGTGACCTGGATGAAGCCGGACGCTTAACCGACTGCGCCACCCAGGCGCCCCCTTTTTTTTTTTTTTTAAGGTAAGAATACAATAGAATTATTCGTTTTCCTTGTTTTAACAAATTACTCTCACACCTATCTTAAAGTGTTCTGGGCACTCTGATGAAAAGAGATGTTCTTGCTTTAGTGAGTATGTCATGTCTAGGATTATTAAAAAAAAAGAGTTCTACATCTATCTGAGGGGTTACAAGGACATTCAGATTTAGGTGTGTGGTCTATTGAATTCCCAAATCTGACTGAATATGTGCCATATGCCAGGCACTGTGCTAAGAGCAATTGACATGGATTATCTCATTTGGCTTTTACAGCAGCCTTACGACATAGGTACCCTACAGCCCGATGCAGAGTCACTTTGCTACAGGTAAGGGACTACAGGCTCAGTGAGGTTAGTACCACCCAAAGTCCCACAGCTTGCAGATGAAGAGGTTGGAATTTAAACACAAGTTATCTGGACCCAAAGCCCAAGCTCTTAATCATGACACTACACTGACCTGACTCCCCCAGAATATTAGGGATAGCAGTGAGTAAGTAACCCTTCAAAAGGAAGACTGACATGTTGCATGGTGTGCATGACTGGGTAGAAACAGCCCGCTGTTATTTTCTCTGTGTGTGTGTGTGTGTGTGTGTGTGTGTGTGTGTGTGTGTGTTTTTAGGTCAAAAGTATCTTACATTTGCATTGCACCCTACAATTTCACAATGTTATCTTATTAGATCTTCACAAATATACAAGAGAAACATTTAACTTACAGGAAAACTGAATCTCTAAGAGACTAATTGGCTTCTTCAGAGTTACATGGCTGGTGAGTAGTGGAGTAGGAACCAAACAGGTCTCCTAACCTGGGCCTCTCACCCCAGCACACATCACCTCCAGGCAGTGGCCTTGAATTGGTGGTTGGTTCAGTACTCTTGCATTTACAAATCATCTTGATATTAACCCAGCAAAGATTCCAAAGGGCAGATTTTTCTGCAACACATGTTCCCAGTATGATTTATAGTCAAGTACGGATTACTAGACACCATTAAAACACATTTTCTGTCACATTTAGAACAAAAATCAAGCTTAATACTAAACATTAGAAAGAGATATCGTTAAGAACAATTTCTTTCTTTTCCTTACCCTTTATCCTTCTATCTTACTTACCTTAATGTTTACAATTATTTTCTGCTAAGAAACTCATCTGGCATTTAATGAAATTTCCTATTTTCATTTTTATAATTAAATAATGATTTTATCCTTGAAGTTCAACATTCAGGATTTTTATACTTTAAGGCTAAGTGGCTATTTTTCTTCTCTACCCAAGAAAAACTCATTTCCAGCTGCTTTGCTACCAAATTCCTTCCTCATTGCCATAAATGACAGATTCCACTTCCAGTTATATTTTAAAACATGGAAATTCTTAGATGTGAGTTCCACAAGACCCCTCAAAAAAGTGGGGTGTTGGGAAACACCAGCCTAAGTGATCTGCTTGATGTGTATGTGTCTTTAAGAATCCATTGTATCTGAACTCTAATGGCCCAATTCAGTGCTGTTAATACTGGAACCATAAAAGTGTAGTTCAGTTCCAGAAATATGGAAAAATATTTTAGTTTCTAAAGCATTTTAAGGGGAAGTGTACACTTAAAACACGCAAGTTCATAGTGCTTGTCTTTTGAGATATACTCATTATCTATACAGACTTTGTACAGCTGGATGAAACCCTTAATATCAAAATGACATCCGGGCATCTATAGCCATGCTGTATCCAAGAGACTCTTTCTGTGGTCTACTAAAAGCTTACAATGAAGCCAAGACCATTTTGGATAATAAAAATGTATTATTCAGACATAAAAGCAAATCTGAAAAAGAATGCCCCAGACTATCAATGTAAATTGCTGCCAAGAAAGCCTGATTTCTAGAGAAACAGGGGTTTATCAAACAGTTTTAACATTTCAGAGCATATTTCCAGCTGCCTGTACAAAGCCCCACTGTGTGCCTCTGTGTGTATGTATACATGTAGATAAAGATACAGATGTAGATATACGTATACATATATAGATCTATCATCGTAGGTCTCCATGTAGCTTCAGAGGACTAGGCGTTGTACAGATGATAAATAAAAACAAACACTTGAAAAGAGTTATACAGCACAATGTAGACAAATATCATCTCTCGCTTCTAAGAGTTAATACTCAATGCCTAAAATAAAATCATTACAAGGACCCACCTGAGGCAGCCACCAGGATGAAGGGCCACAGAGGAGCCATTGCACCTGCCGTTGTTCCCAGGCACATCCCAGAGAAGAAACGTAAACTTGCCTACGGGACGGAATACCACTCAATTTTTCCCAAAGGGGCCTCTCTTCACTCCGTTCTTTGCTGTTTGCCAGTTTATGCTGTCCTCGCCGGTGCTATTTTGTAAACATTGAACAGGACCAAAGGCGACGCCAGCACCACACAATGTTTCAGAATTGATGCCACAGCAATACCCCTTAACTTCTCCATTTGGTTCTGCCCCAGCATCAGATCGTGGCCAACATTTCAATTTCCCTGACAAGAGATAGCTAAGTGAAAAATGTAATCTAAGAGGAGCCCCTAAGGAGGGGACATTCCACACTAATATGGTTTCCTTTACAGCCTTTACCTAAGGCGATGATCTTGCTGACATTCAGGACACTAATTTCATTAATAATTGAGACCTAAATAGCTGTTCTAAACCAGACTTATGCAGGAGCATCTTCAGCATTTGACAATGGCTATTGGACTCTTGAATCACACAAAGCTAATGGAACCCTGTTATTGTCTAATCAAGAACAGCTGCTAACAATACAGTGGGGAAAGTGCACTCTGTCTTTCCTGAGCTCCTTTAATTAAAAGAAAAGTTGATGTTTGATAAATGGGGGTGCTTCTTAAATTGTCACTGAGTATACAATCCAGAAAGTAAACCATGTATGAGAGGATCCTTCTAGGCTGATTGAAGATGAGGGCTACGAAAGCTGGACATCATGTGATAAATTTTTTCTTACATCTTTTCACTGAGCACCCATACTCTTCATTATGAAGGAAAAAGCGACCTAATTCCATATGATTCTATCTGCCACTGGTAGACCCCTAGATGCTCTAGAAACAAAAACTGAATTTCATACCATTTCCAACATCTATCTGCTTTTTAATACGAGTGGGATTGTAGAGGCATAGGATTGAGATGAGTTTCACAGAGCAAACCGAGGGGAGAAATACATACCTGATCCCTGTTCTGCTAATTTATCTAGTCCCTTTGTTTACAATCTATGAAGCTGTCTCCTTAATTTTCATCTACCAATAAAACGTAGCCTGACTGACTTCCTACTGTTGGTGACAGGAGTTACAAATATGGAAAGGGAGGAAACTAGGATGAACCCTGAGGCATTGAGTTGGTTTTGGAGGCATCAGTGTGAATTTGTGGTTTTCAATACATGTGGCTACATATAAAAATAAACACAGATGTCAATGTGTGTGTACAGATGTTAATACATACTTGTATCCCAAGCTCTGTCCACTGGTGAGTCTGGGAGCCAAGACACCCCAGTAGCAATGAGTATACCCGACACCCAGATCTTAGTTTCTAAATAACACACTTACCTAAAAGGAAGACATGGAGCTGAACAGGGGATGTGTGAGAAGACCCAAGAACATCTTGTTGCGTCACAAAGTGAAGAAGTGCTAAAAGAATGACAAGGAGGGGCACCTGGATGGCTCAGTCAGTTGAGCATCCGTCTTGGGCTCAGGTCATGATCTCGTGGTTTGTGGGTTCGAGCCCCGTGTCGGGCTCTGTGCTGACAGCTCAGAGCCTGGAGCTGTTTCAGATTCTGCGTCTCCCTCTCTCGCTCAAAAATAAACATTAAAAAATAATTAAAAAATAAAAGAATGATAGAGACATGTTAAAAGGGCATAGTTAGTTGAAGGATCTCCCAAAATAAAATACAAATCCACAGGGTGCTTGAGAGGCTCAGTCAGTTAAGCATCTGGCTTCAGCTCAGGTCATGATCTTGTGATCGGCAGGTTTGAGCCCCACGTCAGGCTCTGTGCTGACAGCTCGGAGCCTGGAGCCTGCTTCAGATTCTTTGTCTCCCTCTCTCTCTGCCCCTCCCCCGCTCATTCTCTCTCTCTCTCTCTCTCTCTCTCAAAAATAAACATTAAAAAATTTAAAAAAAAATGAATCCACAAGTCCATGCTGATTTAAATGAATGAAATGAAGACTTTTCCTTAAGTTAGAATGCCAACTAACACATGTAGAAGGAATGTCAGAATCTTCATAGTCATAATTCACTCAAAAAACATCAGTGGCTGATAAAACCTAGCTGGCGAAAGTTTGATGAAAAACAGGACACTTACACAACATACTTATTAATCAGAATGAGTAAAAAAAAAACAACAACAAAAACTTTCCGTGGAGAAATCTGGCAGACAACACGTTAATCAAATGATGAAAATTAACGTTACCAATCACAGGAGTTGTGTGCCATGAGATAGGAGGGACTGAGAAGACACAGCTGCACTTCTGTGATCATCCTGCCAAAAATTCAAAACTTGGATCTATCTGGAAGGAGACACCAGATAACCCCATACTGTGGGACACTCTACAAAACAGCTTATAATCTTCAAAAGTGTCAAGGTTAGGGAAGCTGAGGAAAGGCGGAGAAACCGTGTCCCATAAAGCCGATTAAGGAGACATGACAACTCGGTGCAATGTGTGACTCTGGATTGGATCCTTTTGTTACAAAGAACATCTTGGGGAGACTTCGCAAAACCCAAGGTGGGGGCCTAGAGACTCCCGATTTTGATGGAATTGAGATCATGTAATGTTCTTGTTCGTAAGAATCACATTCTAAGCACTCACCGGCAACAGAGCATCATGTTGGCAAACTACTCTCAAACGGTTGGGGGCGGGATTCATTTTACTATTCTCCCAGTCTTGCTGTGTATTTGAAAATATTTCAGAAAAAAAAAAAAAAAG